AGATTGGGAGTTCTGAACTTGGCTTAAGAAACAGCCACATGCAGTGTGGAATCAGCTTAGGCTACAGGACGCAGGGCTGCCACAATCTGGTGTCCAAATTTTGTGTCATACAAGGATGGCACATGGGGGGGGGGAGTTGCAAATAAAAAGAAAGCATGATTCACTTGAAACTATAGGTGTGGGCACCAGTCTTGGAGTGGGGCAAGGTGAGTGCATAGAATGATTGTAACATTGATTAAAAAATACTTTTGGGGGGGGGGGCTAAGTGGAATTCTGCACAAGGATGTCTTGTATCCCAGCAGTGACCCTGATCCAATTTAAAGCTGCTCCTGTAGTCTCATGCCAGGCAGCAACAGAGGCTTTAGTCAAGGTGTGTAACAAACTCCAGGGAAAACCCCAAGATCCTTCTGAAACCCAGTAGGGACCATTAGATGTCTGGGGCAGGCCAATCAAATGGATTCTGCCTCCCTGCAAATGGAGGAGAGCACTTTGGTAAAATCCAGGCCTACCAGATAGTGATTTGCCTGTGACAAGGGATAGATGGCAACATACCCCAACTCCAGATCACATAGCTACTACCCTGAAACAGTGTGTGACCCTCTCTGTGGGTCGGGACCAAGATAAGCTGGGTCAGATCCATGATTGTCATGGTGGCCATGAACCCCTGCACTGCCTTTGAGTCTACCCTCAAGGGTGGCAGATTGAAGTCCCCCAGAACCAAGTCTGGGGTCTCTACCACCAGCCTGGAGACGGCCTTGAACAGAGTGGGCAGGGAGGCTTCAAAACAGCATGGAGGCTGGTACAGCAGCAGGACTTCCAACTGATTCTTAAGGCCTACCCTCACCAGTAAGGTCTCACACCTGGCTATCTGCAGGACAGCACCCCTGACAACCTTCAGAATCTCCTAATAGGCAAGAGCAACATTACCTCCCCAACAGTGGAGTTGTGGTTGATGTCTAACCTGAAACCCCTCTGGGCACATTTCAGAGAAGGGCACTCCACCTTCTTTGTCCAGACGGGTCTTGGTAATACATGCCAACCTGGATGAGGTGATTCTTATTAGAAGCTGACCTAATATTCAGCAGCACCAGCTGGAGTCCAGAGCCATCTATGATCTTGCTCTTGTCTTCAGACTAGCCTTTCATAGAACTACTGTACATGTTTCAAGTTTCATAGAGATTAACCTGAAGATGGGATAAATCAACTTCGGACAAGGTCATAGAATCTATTGTTAAAGATCCACTCCCCAGTCATTATGTTTCACTAGAAAGGATTGATGATTCCAAATTTCAGTGAAGAATCTGGGGGAAATTAAAAAAAAAAAAATGATCTGTAGAAAATGTCAAGAGAAAAAATAAGGAAATTCAAAGAGAAATATAAGAAAAGAAAATGATCAATACTTCCTCACATGTTACTACCTAATATTCATAGCCTGGTTTCTGAGGGTAGCCTACCCACCCACCAAGGGAAGTAAATGGAAGACCTGTGGTTTTTAATTGTCTATCGGTGAAGGTGACTAATGTACAAGCCAATTTTTCAACATGTAAAACTTTCAAGAAGAAAGTGTAGATGAGCTTTATTATCTGTGCATGAACGTGACTTTGCAGGATGCATTCTCTGAAAAATATTTCAAATGAGTTTACCAATCCTCAGAATCAGTGAACTCTAAATAAAACAGCAATCCCAAGGAAGAAGAATGAATGTGGGAATTTCCTTTTATGTGTCTAATTGAGTTGCATGAGAAAACAAGAAAATCAGCAACAAATCTCCCAAGATTAATTAACTTTAAATACTTTAAAGCACTTACAGTAGAAAAAGCTCTAGCTTGCCCAGAGAACAGGTTCTCCAGTAGGGATGTGGAGAAAAAACAATACTGAATCCTTGGACAATCTGCCAATAAAATATTGCTGAAAAAAAATCCTATTTCATCCACAATTATATGTTGAAGAAGGATAATGCCCTCTTTCATGGCCTTCTTTTCTGTTCAAAATCAGATGGCTTTATAGTTCATACTAAGCCATAATGTGGATTCCTTTTATTTCAGCTTCATCTAGGAAGACAGTTTTTCTGGTCTGTAACCAAGGCACTGCAATTTCTTCAACATGTTACCATGCATTCATGCAATGTGTAAACCCAGCCCAGGGAAGATGAATTCAAAGGTTTGGACTCTTTTTCTCTTGGGCTGATTTTGTGAAACTATATGGTGATGTCATTCAGGGAAGATAACCTCCTAGATGCTTGCCAAGGAATACTTTTTTCTATCACTGATGGCTTTGTAATAAGTTTTACTTTGCAGTTTCCTCTTCCTGGTTAATATCTTAGGTAGAAGTTGATTCCGGAATGCCCCAAGAAAAACATTTCTTTTTTTACACCACAGAGAAGCACTTGACTAATTAATAAAATATAGGCCTGTGAATACTAACAAACTTATTATTGAAAAGTTTAGAAAATTATGTATTAGCCTTTGGTAACA